ACCGTGCTGCTCACAGTCAGCCAGTAGTAATAGTATTAATTGATGGTACACTTCCAATTAGCACTAAGCCTGCAGCTGTGAGAACATTTGATGTCTCTCAATTTAAATAGATTCTCTAATTAGTCTTGGCCAGTAGTAACTGGTTTTGCACAGAACCTCAACATTACCACCACCATCATCATCATCAGCAGCAGCAACATCATCACCACCACTTTCATTATCACCATCATCAGCAACATTTTAATCATTACCACCATCATCATCATCAGCAGTAGCAACATCATCATCACCACCTTCATTACCACCATCATCATCAGCAGTAGCAAAATTCTCACCATCACCACCATCATTATCATCATCATCGTCTCGTCAGCCAGGCATTAGAGATTAAACAAATGTAAAGATTATGATTTCAAATTCCAATCGGGGGTAGGGTGGGGTGGGTCGGTGGGCAGGGTGGGGTGGGTGGGGTGGTTGGGTCGGGTGGGGTGGGTAGGGTGGGGTGGGTAGGTGGTTGGGTGGGGTGGGTGGGGTGGGTGGGTCGGATGGGGTGGGGTGGGTGTTGTGGGGTGGGGTGAGTGGGTGCATAGGGTGGGGTGGGTGGGGTGGGTAGGGTGGGTAGGGTGGGTGAGGTGGGTAGGGTGGGTGAGGTGGGTAGGGGGTGGGGTGAGGTGAGTAGGGTGGGGTGGGTAGGTCTGTGTGGTGGATCGGTGTGGTGGGTGGGGTGGGGTCGGGTGGGTGGGTGTGTAGGGTGGAGTGGGGGGGGATAGGGTAGGGTGGGGTGGGTCGGTGTGGTGGGTTGGGTGGGATGGGTGTTGTGGGGTGGGGTGGGTGGGTTGGGTGGGCGGGTGGGGTGGGTTGGTTGGGTGGGGTGGGTTGGGTGGGTGGGTTGGGTTGGGTGGGTTGGGTTGGGTGGGCGGGTGGGGTGGGTGGGTGGGTTGGTTGGGTGGGTTGGGTGGGTGGGTTGGGTTGGGTGGGTTGGGTTGGGTGGGTAGGGTGGGGTGGGTTGGGTGGGTGGGTGGGGTGGGTGGGAATCGAACCTGGGGCTAACAAAAACCTGGCTCAGAGGCAAGAGGGTTGACCCGTCGTTCGGCACGGTCACCCGCCGATGCTCGACCGGCAGCGTTCGACACTTTTGCGTCGGTTCGCTTCACGTGGCCCCGTCTACAAAACAAAGGGACGCGCTCACACACGCAACGTCCTCATCGCAAACACGTTTTGGCTTGGCGCGAGTCGCGTCCGCGCACCCCCCACCCCATCGCGGTCTCGACGGGGAGCAAAAACGTTGATCCCCACACCTCCCTCTGCCTCCCCCCCCCCCCCCCCCCTCCTGGACGACTTAAGACACCGATTCTGTGTTCACAACTCGGCTTGCACTCCCGCATGCCTCGATCCAGACTCCCCCTTCGGAAGCGCCGCAATCCCCCCCGGCCTCCACCGCTTCTTTTCCACCACCAGCCGCCACCCCCCCCCCTGACCAACCACATCCGTTGTTTTGTTTACTTTCGTTCTCCCACAACTTCGATCCCAATGCGTGGAACTCGTGGTGGCGGTGGTGAGCTCCGGGAGACACGCAACAAAAATCATTTGAATTCTGGCTTCGGGGGGCCGAGCAGGGCCAGGTGCTAGGGGCGGGCCCTTAACCACGCGGCTTCACGTCAGCCGGCGACGCAATCGACTGCGCACGTGACGTCACGCAACTGTGTGACGTCACGCAAGTGTGTGACGTCACGCAAGTGTGTGACGTCACACGCATGCGCAATCGACTGCGCACGTGACGTCACGCAACTGTGTGACGTCACGCAACTGTGTGACGTCACCTGCATGCGCAATCGACTGCGCACGTGACGTCACGCAACTGTGTGACGTCACGCAACTGTGTGACGTCACCTGCATGCGCAATCGACTGCGCACGTGACGTCACGCAACTGTGTGACGTCACGCAACTGTGTGACGTCACCCGCACGCGCAATTGATCGCGTGCGCGTGACGCCCCCCAAACTAAACGGCGGTCCACGCGGGGGGCAGGGGGGGTGAGGGGTGGTGGTCCTCAAGTGCTCGTACACTAAATTCGTAGTCATCCCGCAACACAAACCCGGGGGGGGGGCACGGGGGGAGGGGGGGGCTATTACACGCCGTGTTGCATCTCGGTTGGCGAGATGCCGTGGGGGGCGGGTTGAGATTTGTGAGGGGATACTTTTGGGTGAAGTGCTCTTATACAAAATGAGGGCACGGTGGGGGGGTGGGGGAAGAGGGGAGGAGGGAGAAGGGGAGGAACAGGAGGTTTCCCAATCCCACAATACATTCAAGTGCAGCAGCAGCAACATCGTCGTCGTCATCATCATCATACATTCGTACGCTCGCCCACACGGCCCGCACGTAAAGCACCAGTGGAGTCACACGCGGCACGAACCCGTGCTCGCGCGCTCGCTCGCAACACACGTACAGACGTACGTACAAATACGTGTACACGCATGCATATGCACATCGTATACACACACACACACACACAGACGAGACCCCACCCCCGCGCTACGTGGCCACGTGGGGGTGTTCAGGAAAGGTACAGAGAGTTAAGTGGGCGTCGATTAAGGGAAGGTTCACGACACGGGGCAGGGGGTTGTGGCCGGAACGTCACTGCCAATCGGAGCTCGGTTTAGGCCGAAGACGGATTGGCACACTGATGTTGTGGCCAGGAGATGTTGACTACCTCGCCTGGTATACAGGAGGTCACGGGTTCGATCCCGACCCTGACACCTGCTGTGTATTTGGAGTTTGCGTGTCTCTCTGTCATCATTATCACAGTGGCTAGGAGATGTTAACTACCTCGCCTGGTGTGCAGGAGGTCACGGGTTCGATCCCGACCCTGACACCTGTTGTGTATTTGAGGTTTGTGTGTCTCTCTGTCATCATCATCACGGTAGCTCGGAGATGTTAACTACCTCGCCTGGTATACAGGAGGTCGTGGGTTCGATCCGGACCCTGACGACGCCTGCTGCTGTATAATTGGAGTTTGCGTCTCTCTCCACGTTGAGAATCAAAGTCACGCGTTTAAGAATATTTGTCTGCTGCTGTGAATGTCCACGTGATGAGCCCACTTCGTCGGACTTTCGCTTGCGACGGCCAGGGCCGTGTCTCAAATCGAGCCAAGTAGCTCAGCCGGCCTGACCCGGTAGAATAGAAAAACACAGCCGAGATTCGATTATTATCTATGGCCAGGAATCGAACCCAGGTGACTGGAAATCTAAGGGAAGTGTATGAACCACTGCACCACCACTCCTGGTACTCTGTTCATATGTAGACTGTACACGCTTACACACAATATAGCATGTACATCGACAAACAATGCATATGCCCACAAGTGCGTACACACGCACACACGGATATATGGTACAGAACATTCATACAAATACTTAAATAGACCTACAAACATTCACACGTAAACACACGTCTCTCTTTGTCTCTCAGCTTGACTCCCCGTGTCTCTCTGTCTTCCCTTGTCTCTCAGCTTGTCTCCCTGTCTCACGTCTTCCTACGTCTCACCACGTCTCCCTGTGTCTCACCACGTCTCACTAAGTCTCCACGTCTCACCGTGTCCCTCTGTGTCTAAGTCTCCACGTCTCACCACGTCTCACCACGTCTTATGACGTCTCCCTGTGTCTGCCTGTGTCTCACCATGTCTCCCTGTGTCTCACCATGTCTCCCTGTGTCTCACCATGTCTCCCTGTGTCTCCCTGTCTCACGTCTTCCTACGTCTCATCACGTCTCACCACGTCTCCCTGTGTCTCACCACGTCTAAGTCTCCACGTCTCCCTGTCTCCCTGTGTCTCACCACGTCTCCCTGTGTGTCACCATGTCTCCCTGTGTCACACCATGTCTCACTAAGTCTCCACGTCTCACCACGTCTCACCATGTCTAAGTCTCCACGTCTTACCACATCTCCCTGTGTCTCACCACGTCTCACCATGTCTAAGTCACCACGTCTCACCATGTCTAAGTCTCCACGTCTTACCACATCTCCCTGTGTCTCCCTGTGTCTCCCTGTGTCTCCCTGTGTCTCACCACGTCTCCCTGTGTCTCACCATGTCTCCCTGTGTCACACCATGTCTCACTAAGTCTCCACGTCTCACGTCTCACCATGTCTAAGTCTCCACGTCTTACCACATCTCCCTGTGTCTCACCACGTCTCACCATGTCTAAGTCACCACGTCTCACCATGTCTAAGTCTCCACGTCTTACCACATCTCCCTGTGTCTCCCTGTGTCTCCCTGTGTCTCCCTGTGTCTCACCACATCTCCCGGCGTCTCACCAAGTCTCACCACGTCTCACTAAGTCTCCACGTCTCACCACGTCTCCCTGTGTCTCACCACGTCTCACCAAGTCTCCACGTCTCACCACGTCTCCGTGTCTCCCCTGTGTCTCAATAAGTCTCCACGTCTCACCATGTCTCCCTGTGTCTCACCACGTCTCACCAAGTCTCCACGTCTCACCATGTCTCCCTGTGTCTCACCACGTCTCACCAAGTCTCCACGTCTCACCATGTCTCCGTGTCTCCCCTGTGTCTCACTACGGCTTCCTACGTCTCCCTGTGTCTCAACACGTCTCCCCGCCCACCCCCCTCCCAAATATCTCCCCCTGCCCCAATATCTCCCCTCCCACCCCCCCTCCCAATATTCCCCCCCCCCTCGCCCACCCCCCAATATCTCACCCCCCCAATATCTCCCCGCCCACCCCCCAAATACCTCCCCGACCACCCCCCCAAAATCTCACCGCCCATCCCCCAAAATCTCCCCCCCCCCAATACCTCCCCACCCATCCCCCCAATATCTCCCCGCCCACCCCCACCAAAATCTCCCCGCCCACCCCCCAATATCTCCCCACCCACCCCTCAAATACCTTCCCGACCACCCCCCCAAAATCTCCCCCCCCCAATATCTCCCCGCCCACCCCCACCAAAATCTACCCACCCCCCAAAATCCCCCCCCCCAATACCTCCCCCCAAAATCTCCCCGCGCCGTCTCCTCCCGGCGGCGGCGGCGTCGCCCGTTCAGTGCTTGCCAGGCCTCTCCTTGCTGAGCGAGGAGGCGAGGCCGCGGGGGGTCTCCTCGCCGCTCAGCAGCGCCTTGATCTCAGACGGGATCTTGCCCTGGTCCATCGCAATGCACCACTGCTTGTACTGAGGGCACGCGGGGGGCAGGGGCGGAGCGGGGGGGGGGCAGAAAAGGCAGTGGAAGGTGGATGAGAGATGCAGGGTGGACGGAGGGGGGAGAAGGTAGCGGGAGATAGTGGGAGACAGGGGGGGAGACACGGCAAGATAGGTGGAGACGCAGGGAGATTTTGGGAGACAGGGGGGAGACACGGGGAGGAAGGGGAAAAGTAGGGGGAGATATTGGGAGACACGGGGAGATGGTGGAGAAGGTAGGGGGAGATTTTGGGAGACACGGGCAGATAGTGGGGGACAGGGGGAGACACGGGGAGGCAGTGGGGAGGAAGGATGTCTGTATGCAATGAGTTTATCATCGTTTGCAGGGGAGAGCGAGAGAGTTTTGATGATGATGATGATGACGACGAAGCTTCATGGTGAAGCCATCTCGGGCGGCGGGGGGGGGGGGCAGCAGTGGCGGTGGCGGCGCCCTCGCTCACCATGTCGAGCTCCTCGCGCAGCGCACATATGGCTCGCTCGCGTCCCGACACCATCTCCTCCAGGCACTGGTAGCGCTGCTTCTTGCGAGCGCGGCACTCCCTGGCGCTCTGCCGGCTGCGCTCTAGCTTCGCCTTGAGGTCGATCTTGGCCGGCTTGCGCCCACGCTTGCCCGGCTTCTTCACCTGCTGCGGCGGCGGCGGCAGCGGCGGTCGCGAGAGAGAAACGGGGAGAGAGAGTCAAAGAGAGAGAGAGACGAAGAGAGACAGAGAGACACGGAGAGGTGACCGAGACAGAGAGAGAAACAGAGAGAGACAGATACACAGAGAGAGACAGACACAGAGAGAGACAGAGAGAGACAGAGACACAGAGAGAGACAGAGAGACAGAGAGAGACAGAGAGATAGAGACAGAGCGAGAAAGACAGAGAGACAGAGCGAGAGAGACAAAGACACAGAGAGAGACAGAGAGAGACAGAGAGAGACAGAGAGAGACAGAGAGACAGAGACAGAGAGAGACAGAGAGAGACAGAGAGACAGAGACAGAGAGAGACAGAGAGAGACAGAGAGAGACAGACTGAGAGACACAGAGAGAGACAGAGAGAGAGACAGAGAGAGACAGCGCCGCGGTGAAATGGGTGGGTGTGTGCGGCAATGAGAAGCAGAGAAGCCGAGGAGGAGATCGTGGTGCCGATGGAGTGGCGGTGGCATGTGGCGATGCTTAAAATCAAGAATCTAAATTGTTAAGTTCCCGGCGAGTTGGAGAGTAAACCCGCGAGATTGACAACTGTGGATTTACTCTCCAACGCACAACCGGTTAGTGCTGAACTAGTGAACTGCACTATACACTACACTATACACTACACTACTACACAGTAATTGTAAATGTTGTAGTGGTTAGTGCTGTGATAGTAACGCATTGGCCACGTTTTACCGATTGGCTGTGTCGTGTGGTGGTGGCGGCGGGTTTAACGACACATTTTTATTTACGCGACCTAACCCAAGCAAACCTCGATTATGTTCGAATTGCACACGTAACAAGTTAAATTGCCAACCCATTAAAGCGCCGTGCGCATGTATGATGACGACGATTCTGATTGTTATTTACAGCGGGAAATGGAACGAACGCGATGATCTTCGTCGTCAGAAGCAGCAATGTAAGCGATGTATCCACGTGGTTGGTGGTGGCGATGACGTCACAATTAAGAGACCCCGGGGGGTGGGGTGGGGGGGTGGGTCAATCAAAGAGACAAACGTGCGGCAGCCCTGCAAGTGTCTAGCTCAGCGCCACGTCGAAGCAGCTCTCTGGGAGCACCACGTCCCAACAACTCTCCCTCCCTCTCTCGCTCGCTCGCTCTGATGACGACGACGTTGATACTGTGGCATCATGGCTCCATGCTAACTCGGCAGGCCACCGACCCCCACCTCTATGTGCTGGATCTTCTTCACTTTGCCATCACCTCCTCCTCCTCCTCCTAGAACCCCACCACCTCCACCTCCTCCTCCACCTCCTCCAACTCCACCAACTCCACCACCTCCAACTCCACCCACTCCTCCAAGAGCCTACAGAGGACAGCACGTGGTCATGAGCACAAGCCTGGGTGTACTTGTGGATACTCAGTCGGGCGTCACGTCTTGACCTGTTCAACGCGTAGCAGGCTTCCGCGAGCAATATTATTCGTGATGAACGTTTTTGGGTGAGATCGCGTTATTTATAAATGTGTCGTAACCCTCCACCACCCGACACGGCCAATCGGCAAAAAAGTGTCGCGTTGACAAAAGACAAAATAGTTCACTGCTTTAGCCCACCAGTTTGTTGAAGAGTGAATGAATTTTTTTTTTATGTTGTGGATTCACTCATCAGCAAACCGGTGGGCTAAAGTAGTGAACTATTTTGTCTTTTGTCAACGCGACACTTTTTTGCCGATTGGCCGTGTCTAGTGGCGGATGGTTACGACACATTTATAAATAACGCGATCCGACCCAAAAACCTTTATGACGAATTCTTGAGCAGTCGTCTCGCTACGAACCCGGCGACCCGGGTTTCCATTCCCGCTCACGGCCACCGACAACCACTTGACGATTATCCGAACCGATCCCTGGGCCTCCCCTCGGTCGACAACCCTCGTGCGCTGCTACTCGCGGTCAGCACTTGCCCCACCAGCCTGTTGGAGGCTACACGGGGGAGGGGGGAATGGGGAGTTGGTGTTGGGACTTGTTGGGAGTTCTCGGCTATCTGACACTCGCCAGCACGAATCAAACATTATCCGGTGAAACTCGTAAAGCGGAGCCCGTTGAGAGAATTCGCCTCCGTGTCCCGGTACACGATGCTGCTGCTGCTGCTACTAACACACGGAATACCATCTACAGTACAAATACAAAGGTCTCCCGTATAGCCTGTACAAGACTGTTGGGGCAAGTGCTGTTAGAGAGCAACTTTCAAGGCCGGCACTGTGACACACGAGGGGGTGGGGTGGCCAGTGGTGATGTTTAGACACACACCAGCATCAGGTACTCAATTGAGGCTGAGTCGACATAGGGGAGGCCCAGGACCCGGTTCAGATAATCGCCACTGGTGTTGTGAGTGGGAATGGAACTCGTGATCGCTAGGCGCGTGGAGCAGCGCGCTAACCGCTCCCCCACCGCTCCCCACGCTCCTGCAGCACACGTGGTCACAGTAAAGATAAGTAAACAGAGTCCAATGCAATACAGTGTACACCAGAGCACAGCCAAGCACACACACACACACCAGCCTCACAGAGAGCACACTGCCATACAGCAAACACAGACACACACACACCAGCCTCACAGAGAGCACACTGCCATACAGCAAACACACACACACCAGCCTCACAGAGAGCACACTACCATACAGCACACACACACACACACCAGCCTCACAGAGAGCACACTGCCATACAGCACACACACACACACCAGCCTCACAGAGAGCACACTGCCATACAGCACACACACACACACCAGCCTCACAGAGAGCACACTGCCATACAGCACACACACACACACCAGCCTCACAGAGAGCACACTGCCATACAGCACACACACACACACCAGCCTCACAGAGAGCACACTGCCATACAGCACACACACACACACCAGCCTCACAGAGAGCACACTGCCATACAGCACACACACACACACCAGCCTCACAGAGAGCACACTGCCATACAGCACACACACACACACCAGCCTCACAGAGAGCACACTGCCATACAGCACACACACACACACCAGCCTCACAGAGAGCACACTGTCATACAGCACACACACACACCAGCCTCACAGAGAGCACACTGCCCTACAGCAAACACACACACACACACACCAGCCTCACAGATAGCACACTGCCATACAACACACACACACACACACCAGCCTCACAGAGAGCACACTGCCATACAGCAAACACACACACACCAGCCTCACAGAGAGCACACTGCCATACAGCAAACACACACACACACACACCAGCCTCACAGATAGCACACTGCCATACAGCAAACACACACACACACCAGCCTCACAGATAGCACACTGCCATACAGCAAACACACACACACCAGCCTCACAGAGAGCACACTGCCATACAGCAAACACACACACACACCAGCCTCACAGAGAGCACACTGCCATACAGCAAACACACACACATCAGCCTCACAGATAGCACACTGCCATACAGCACACACACACACACCAGCCTCACAGATAGCACACTGCCATACAGCAAACACACACACACCAGCCTCACAGATAGCACACTGCCATACAGCAAACACACACACACACACCAGCCTCACAGAGAGCACACTGCCCTACAGCAAACACACACACACCAGCCTCACAGAGAGCACACTGCCATACAGCAAACACACACACCAGCCTCACAGAGAGCACACTGCCATACAGCAAACACACACACACACACCAGCCTCACAGAGAGCACACTGCCATACAGCAAACACACACACACACACCAGCCTCACAGAGAGCACACTGCCATACAGCAAACACACACACACACACACCAGCCTCACAGAGAGCACACTGCCATACAGCAAACACACACACACACACCAGCCTCACAGAGAGCACACTGCCATACAGCAAACACACACACACACACACCAGCCTCACAGAGAGCACACTGCCATACAGTAAACACACACACACACACCAGCCTCACAGATAGCACACTGCCATACAGCAAACACACACTACAGTACAAAGACTAAGATCCCCCGTGTAGCCTTCAACAGACTGCTGGGGCAAGTGCTGCTAGCGAGCACCTATGAAGGCCGGCGCTGTGGCACATGAGGGGTGGGTGGCTAGCTCCACGCCCGGCCGCCTTTGTCTCCCCACCAGGAACTCATTTGATAGGATGAGTCGACCGACTTTGCACACTATAGCACAAAGACAAAGATCACCCGTATAGCCTGAACAGACTGTTGGGGCACTACAGTACACACACTACAACAGTATACACACTACTGTACACACTACAGTAGACTGTCGTACTGTATACACACTACAACAGTATACACACTACTGTATACACACCACTGTACACACACTACAGTAGACTGCCGTACTGTATACACTACTGTACACACTACAGTAGACTGCCGTACTGTATACACACTACTGTATACACTACTGTACACACTACAGTAGACTGCCGTACTGTATACACACTACTGTATACACACTACTGTACACACACTACTGTACACACACTACAGTACACACCCTGCCATACAGTACACACACTACAGTACACACCCTGCCGTACAGTACACACGCTACTGTACGCGCATCAGGGTTACTCGGCACAGGACACGTGGCGCTACAGTGCGCGCCGCCGTCACGTGACACGGCAGTTCGCGCGTCGAAACTTCTTCTGCGCCGTACGCAGGCGACCCGCGTGTGCGACCCGCGTGTGCGACATCGGGGAAGTCGTCGGAGTTTCACTCGTTCGAGACACACAAACCACGAGGTCGGTCTGCACAGAAACACGCGGCGCGCTGCAGCAAGGACACTGCAGCAGCCCCCACACCCCGCACCCCCTTCCCTACCGTGAGAGTCAACGCACAACAACAGTGAGTCAACAACAACAACAACTCCATAAGCTCCACTCCTGTTAGCGCTCCCCCCCCCTCCTCCTCCTCCTTGTCTGCACTGTCAAATAAACCCTACACACACAGACACACACACACAGACACACACACACACAGACACACAGACACACACACACAGACACACTGACACATACATACATACATACACACAGACACACACATACATACACACACAGACACAACACAGACACACACACACTGACACACACACACAGACACACACACACAGACACACACACACAGACACACACAGACACACACACACAGATACACACAGACACACACAGACACACACACAGACACACACACAGACACACACACAGACACACACACAGACACACACACAGACACACACACAAGACACACACAGTGACACACACAGACACACACACAGTGACACACACAGACACACACACAGACACACACAGACACACACACAGACACACACACACAGACACACACACCGACACACACACCGACACACACACACACACAGACACACCGACACACACACCGACACACACACAGACACACACACAGACACACACACACAGACACACACACCGACACACACACCGACACACACACACACAGACACACACACACACAGCACCTTGCTGTCGTCCATGCTTCAGACACGCAGTGGGGCGCTGAGGGCGGTGGCGGCTGACTGGTTCCGGACGCTTCGCTGCGTCCTCCCCAGCGCAGCTGACGGAGGCTCGCGAAGGCTTGCGGACCAGGAGGAGGAGGAGGAAGAGGTGGGGACCACGGAGACCGACGGACGACGTTGAGTTAGCTATAGCGGAGCGAGGAAGACCCGATCAGACAGCACAACGCTCGAGTTTGGCGCTCGCTCTCCCGACTTCTTCTCGCTTCGAGCTGACAGCAGCGGCTCTGTGTGAGCGAGGCGATGTGGGTCACACACACAGAGAGACAGAGAGAGACAGAGAGAGAGAGACACCACTAACACCACCACCAGCACCTCCACCACTCGTGTCTGTGTGTTGATGGTGTCGGGGGGGTCGCTTCGCTCTCTCCAGACTGTTCTAGCGCCGCCCACTTCCAGATCCACAACAACAACGTCACGTGACGCGCGCCCCCTACGTCACCGCGGAGAACTTGAACTCGAATAACCCCGCCCACACCCCCCCCCCCAGTGCCCCCCCCCCATCTCAATAACCCCACCCACACCCCCCCCCCCCAGTGCCCCCCCCCCTATCTTCATAACCCCGCCCACACACCCCCCCCCCCATCTTCATAACCCCGCCACACCCCCCCCCAGTGCCCCCCCCCCCCCCATCTTCATAACCCCGCCCACACACCCCCCCCATCTTCATAACCCCGCCCACACCCCCCCCCCCAGTGCCCCACTCCCATCTTCATAACCCCCCCCGCGTGCCCCCCCCCATCTTCATAACCCCGCCTACACACCCCCCCCCCCCCGCGTGCCCCCCCCCCGCGTGCCCCCCCCCCCCGCGTGCCCCCCCCCCCCCGCGTGCCCCCCCCAGTGCCCCTCCCCCCCATCTTCATAACCCCGCCCACCCACCCCCCCCCCAGTGCCCCCCCCCATCTTCATAACCCCTCCCACACCCCCCCCCCAGTGCCCCCCCCCCCCCATCTTCATAACCCCACCCACACACCCCCCAGTGCCCCCCCTCCCCCCAGTGCCCCCCCCCATCTTCATACCCCACCCACACACCCCCCAGTGCCCCCCCTCCCCCCAGTGCCCCCCCCCTATCTTCATAACCCCGCCCACACACCCCCCCAGTGTTTAATGTCAAGGCGGGGCTTGGTATATAAATAAACACGCCCACCCCCCCCTCCACTCGGCCCCCACCCTCAAGTTCAACGTCAAGGCCAGGCGTGACATTTAAATAACTCCGCCCCCACCACTCACAGAGGGCTGGAGATTTAAATAATTCTAGATTTGAAGCTTTCGTGACTGCAAGGATTCATATTCTTAGGTTTTTTCGGTAAAGTCACGTAGGTAAAACATCAAAATTAATACAAATAAAATAAAATACCGAAAAAAACCTAAGAATATAGATTTAAATAACTCCGCCCCCCAACTCCCGTGAAGTGACGTCACGCCGTTGTGTTTTTTAAAATAAAAACTTGAGTTGCCCCCCCGCCCCCTCCCCCTCACCCCTCCCCCCGCCCCCTCCCCCCGCCCCCGCCCCCCGCCCCCTCCCCCCGCCCCCTCCCCCCTCACCCCCCCTCCCCCCCGCCCCCCCGCCCCCTCCCCCGCCCCCTCCCCCCGCCCCCTCCCCCCGCCCCCTCCCCCCGCCCCTCCCCCCGCCCCCTCCCCCTCCCCCCGCCCCCCGCCCCCTCCCTCCTCCCCCCTCCCCCCGCCCCCTCCGCGGTCACGTGGTCTCCCAACTGGGTTTGGAGGCGTCGAGCGAATGTTCTAGGGCTCCTTCTGTCACGTGTGGTGGTGGTGGGGGGGGAGCGGCGTTGCTATGGGGATGTGTGTTGGGGCGAGGAGGGGATGGGGGAGGGGCTGGTTGCCATGGCGACGACGGAGCCCGTGCTCGAGCCGCGCACGTGTGTTGACGTTTTGGTAGTGACGTCACGCGGGTTTCTCGGTGCGTGCGCTGTGATATTCTTGGTTTCTTTTCGGTAAAAGTCGAAGGAAAATATAAAAAAAAAATATATTAAATTCTCACGACGTTTCGATTGTAACACGAGCAATCATCGTCATGTGTGAAAACCACAGCAAGATTTTTTTTGAAAAAAGTGGCAATCGAAACGTCGTGAGAATTGTATTGTTTTATTTTTATTATTTTATTATTTACCGCTGTGAGTTTAAACTTTTTCATTTTTTGTTTGCCTTCAGTAAGGAGTCAAGACTCGTCCCTAGAGAGCTTTAAATTTACACGTTGAAATTAAGTTTTGCTCTTATAACTGTAAATAAGAAGAAAAAATGACTTAATAACGTGAAAAATGCAGCAGTGATGTAAACATTTTTTAAAAGTTATATTCTTTTGAACTTATGAATTCGTTCATACCCCCCCCCCCTCAATTCCCATTCGGAGTTTAATCCAGCACTGATAAAGTGCCGTTGTGTAGACGTGATGGGATTTTTTTTCTTCCTGGGTGCCAGGCTAGGTGCACGTTGAGTCTCGCTGCCTGGCAGGGTCACGTGGGACAGACCCAGGGTGCTGTGGGTGGTCGACTGCCCGCCTGAGATGATCACGGAAGTCATCAACCTCTCCTCAGACTCACAATGTTGATTTAAGACTGCCGGATAAATCCGATGATCTATAAAGCTCTTTAACTCACAACAACAAACACAGGACATAAATGACGTCACGCACCTGGGGGGGGGGTCAGACATTTGTGACGATGTGTGACGAGGGGGGGTTGAGAAATGTGACGTCACATCAAAATTCGCAACTTTAAATCAATATAGACAGCACGTTCTACTTAATTAAATAGACTTTATAATAAATGTTTTCTCCTTCAACATCAGAGTGCAGCGCCACATTAAATACGCACTACAATGACAATAGTTTAAAACGATTTGAAGCATGTTTTATTTTTTTTGGGGGTGGGGGGCAGAGCTTTGTGACGTCATATTTGAGGGGGGGGGCTGACTCTTTGTGACGCCGTGTGACGAGGGGGGGGGGGGGGTCAAAGCTCGTCCAAAATCGCGTGACGTCATTTATGGACGATGACAGCCCAACAAAGTGTCTCTCACTGCAAGTGGAGGAGCATCAGAGCCCTCCTGAAAACGGTCTTGGGACACGGGGATGATGAAATCATAGGGAAAGGGGCCGTCCATAAATGACGTCACGCGATTTTGGACGAATTTTGACCTCCCCCCCCCCTCGTCACACGGCGTCACAAAAAGTCAGACCCCCCCCCCCTCAAATATGACGTCACAAAGCTCTGCCTCCCCCCCCAAAATAAAACATGCTTCAAATCGCTTTGAACCATCGTCATTGTAGTGCGTATTTAATGTGGCGCTGCACTCTGATGTTATAGGAGACAACATTTATTAAAACGTCTATTTAAAGAGTAGAACGTGCTGTCTATATTTATTTAAAGTTGCGCATTTTAATGTGAAACCCCCCCCCCTTGTCACACAAATATCTGACCCTCCCCACCCTAGGTGAGTGACGTCATTTATGGACGGCCCCAAAGGTGAACACATCATCTCATTCTGACCACCATCATCATCACCATCATCATCACCACCACCGCCATCATCATCTTACTCATGAAGCGGATGCAGAGGCAACGGTAGCAACGCTACGAAGTGGGATTATCATCACCACCATCACCACCATCACCACCATCAATCACCATCACCACCATCACC